CCAGGCAAGCACTTATTCTACTGAGCTGTCTTCCCGGCCCCAGCCTTTGATTCTTTTTTTTTTCGCTTTCCTTTTATTTATTTATTTATTTTTAAATTTTTCCATAATTTTATTGAGAAACAAATAGCAGTGAGACAGTTTCAAACCAAATTGGTAGGACAATTTCAATAATTAACATATTACACACATTATTCCTAGTGGCTAATTGCTGTAAAAGATGCAGACATGATATCCTATTTACAAACACTATTAGTACAAATGCCTCTATTCATTAAGAGAATGTAACTATATAACTATCCTAACCATTTTGAATACACAGATACAAAATGGACATTCATGTGTATCCCCTTTTTTGTTTAGTATAGTCATTTGAATATTGTAGGTTTTTTTTTTTTTTTACATCAGTTATTTTTATTTTAAAGAAAGAAAAAAAAATAAAAACAGTGGTACAAAATCTCAAAACAAGATTTTAGGAGAGTAACAATGGTTAGTACATTGTGTATTGTTATTGCCAAAGTAGTTTCTCATATTACAAGATATAGGCAAGAAACAATAAATAAACAACATAGGTAAGCCTTTGATTCTTGATGGTGATAAATGACTAAGTTACTGGCTCATAGAGTGTACTTCTTAATGTTATTTTAGACCACTTCATCTACTTATTACCATAAAAAAACAAAATTTACTATAAAACATTATACTATGTTACACCAGCAGTAACCTTACAGGTTTTGTTTTAGTCTCTTGATTGCGTCAAACAGGCCACATTGAATGGGTGGCCTATACCATCTGGGCCTTTGTAAGTACACCCCAACCATGTAATACATTGTATTGACAACTACATCACTAGGCTCTAGGAATTTTTCAGCTCAATTATAATTTTACAAGATCACTGAATATGAGATATGATCAAACAAATGGTGTGTGTTTAAATTTTTTAAATGTCTTACAGTAAAAGATACATGGCTATTACTGCTCTTCGGAATACTTACCCTCACTGTGAAGACATTTATCCATCATTCTTAACACTTTCTGAAGCAATTCTGGAAGTTTTCTTTCACAAGCATCTTTAGTTGCCATGTTGTGGCTGCCTCTGTCCTGAATTGACTCAAAATATTTACCTTTTACAGTCTTTTTTACTTTGGAGAAGTGGTATTATGCCAGATCAGGTAGATAAGGATACATTATAATGTTTGTATTTCACAGAAATTGCCCTAACAGAAGCAGTGCATGACATGAAATGTTGCCATTTCTCAGACTATTTTCTACACACGTTGTTTGCTAAATGCTATAATAAGTCTTTATACTATTTAGGGTTTACTGTAGTGTTCCTGGATACAAACCCAGCTCACACAATTCCATCAACCTCAGAAACCACAATCAACATCCCCTTGATGGTTTTTCACATGAAAAGAGCTGGGTGTTTTCATTAAACTCTTATCCTGTAGTCTGAAATAGCATGATTACTTAACTCCAGTGAAATACACATTGTGATTCATGATATATGGCATAGCCTAGTTCATAACCCACTGACTACACCAATCGAGGTGAAATTTGTCGTGCACTGTTACTGAAGCACACTTCTTGTACTACACAAACACCCTGTGTTTCTGTTGAATGACACTTAGTAGCATTATCACTGTACTTGTTAATCACATGACATAGGCAGTTTTTTAAGTTTAAATTTTTATTTTTCTTAGTACATGTTTGCAGGCATAATGATTTCATTCATGGAAAGTTGGTGTGTATACTTAATACATCTTAGTTCACTTCCTTATGAGGCACATAATTGTAGTTTCTTTCATTGTGGGCTTTTCTCAAGTCTGTTCACCAGGTTCATCATATTTAGTGTGATTTACTTTTATTGTTGTGTGTGTGTGTGTGTGTGTGTGTGTGTGTGTATTTAGTACAGAGTCTCACTACACAGAACAAACTCATAGTGATTCTCCTGTTTTCCACCTCCCAAGCACTGGGATTACAGCCACGTGTCACCACACCCAGTCTCAGTAGCTCTCTCAAGTTGCCCCAGGAATGGAGCCCGCATGGCATGCTAGGGATTGAATCTCGGTCTGTGTTGCTTGCCTATTCAGGCACTTCAGTCTGATGAGCTATCTGGCCAGCCCTGCTTGTATTGTTTCTGATGTGACTTGTTTCTTTTTTCTTTGTTTAGCTTTGGTTTGTCAGTTGTCTAAGCTTTTAAAAAATATTTTAGCTTCCCCCCTTAGGTCATGTCTCATATCTACTCACCTTTTCAAATTTTTTCACCTAAATTTGGCTTTTGGACCAGCCAGATATCACAGTGGACTAAAGTGCCTGCTTCAGCAGAGCACAGGGGCCAGGATTTGATCCCCCATACCACAAGCCATGCTGGCTACAACCCCAGGGCACACTGAGACAGCAACTGAGACGGGGCATAGTGGCACCCACCTGTAATCCCAGAGCTTAGGAGGCTGAAAACAGGAGGATCACTATGAGTCCAGTCTACATAGTGAGACCCTATAGGCCCTACATTAAATATATATATATATATATATTTGGCTTTTATCTCATAATTTTACTTATATTAAGAATACTGTTCAGGGCCAGCCTCATAGCTCAGCTGACTAAAGCACCTGCTTAGGCAGAGCACAGCACCAAGGTTCTATCCCCAGAATGCCCTGCCGGCCCTGCCCACGGGGCATGCTGAGATGGCAGTTGAGACTGGGCATGGTGATGTAAACCTGTAATCCCAGTGCTTGGGAGGCTGAAAACAGGAGACTCACTAGGAGTCCAATCTAGTCGTGAGACCCTGTAGACCCCGTCCTAAATACAGGGGGAAAAATACTGTTCAGTGCCAAGAGTAGAGTATGACTAGGCAAGGACTTGCCTGTTGCATTACTTTTTGTCTTTTTTGGTTCAGTTGTTTTTTAGGGAGGTTTTTTTTTTTTTGTTTTTAGTGCTGAGGCCCAACCCAGGGCTTCCAGCTTGTTAGGCAAGCATTCTATTGCTGAACCAAATCCCCAGCCCCTGAAGGACTAGCCTGAATCAAAAAGTTTATAATCAAGATATACTTAATAAAAAACTTAGTAATCAAGATATACAATTTTTAATGTGATTTTTAAAAGCAAAATTAATTTATAATGAATGGAATATCAAGTTTAACATCAAATAATATTCCATGTTTTGGGAGGTAGGAGATACGAATAATGAAACAACATAAACTTTATCATCTTCAGTTTAATCTCTTAAACACATTCTCTTACCAGATTTCATTTCTTTTACCCTATCGACTGTTTATTTTACTTTTTTCACGTTGTTGGAATTTGAGGCTACTGTATTGTTCACCAACTGGTAATTGATGTTTCTCTCTTTTCTCCACTTTCTCAGACTGTTGATGATAGTAGTGCCTCTCTTTTATTCCTGGAAAAGTGTTTGCTGGGGAAACTAGTACACAATGATACAGATGTATTACTTCTGTTTATCTAAAACCTTAATGAGAGTATTACACACAAGACAAAATATGTTGAGGCATGGTATGGAAGTAAGAGTAATTATGGAGTAAGAAGTTTAGAATTCTTCCCTTTTTTGTTTTTTTGGGTTTTTTTTTGCGGAACCGGGGATTAAACTCAGGCCCTTGCGCTTGCCAGGGAAGCACTTATTCCACTGAGCCATCTCCCCAGCCCCAGAAGTTTAGAATTCTAAGCTACTTATAGCAGTACACTGATAAGCTGATTCCTTACTTCTACATAGAGTGTTTTATTTCCTTCAAGATTTTCTCAATAATCACTTACAAGACTGGGCATGGTGACACAAGCCTGTAATCCCAGTGCTTGGGAGGCTGAAAACAAGAGGATCACTGTGAGTCTGATCTACGTAGTGAGACCCTGTAGACCCTGTATGAAATACTTCTTTTAAATCACTTTTGCTTCTTTTTAGTAGTCTTTGTCTCCTACTGCGATCCTACTTGTAATGTCCAGCACGTAGTGATTCAGGAAACGTTTATATCTTTTTGCCAGTAAGAACCATGATTTGTTGGCTTAAAAAAGAAATGGTTCCATACACTACACATCATTGTGGTCTTAGATTGTTTTTGTTAAATAAATTGATAGATGATAAGATCTTGGTATTGCTAAAGGAGAATAGAATAAACAGTAAATTCTGAAAGTATGGTATGTAGTTTCTGGTCAGGAAATAAATTTATTTTTTTTTTTTATTTATTTGAGCGAGAGCGAGAGAGCGAGAGAG